AAAAGAAAATTTCAGGCCAATATCCATGATGAACATAGATGCAAAAATCTTCAATAAAATACTGGCAAACCGATTGCAACAGCATATCAAAAAGCTCATCCACCATGATCAAGTAGGATTCATCCCGGGGATGCAAGGCTGGTTCAACATACGCAAGTCCATAAACGTAATTCACCACATAAACAGAACCAAAGACAAAAACCACATGATTATCTCAATTGATGCAGAGAAGGCTTTTGACAAAATTCAACAACACTTTATGCTAAAAACCCTCAATAAACTAGGTATTGACGGAATGTATCTCAAAACAATAAAAGCTATTTACGACAAACCAACAGCCAATATCATACTGAATGGGCAAAAACTGGAAGCATTCCCTTTGAAATCTGGCACTAGACAAGGATGCCCTCTCTCACCACTCCTATTCAATATAGTACTGGAAGTTCTAGCCAGAGCAATCAGGCAAGAAAAAGAAATAAAGGGTATTCAAATTGGAAAGGAGGAAATCAAATTGTCTCTATTTGCAGATGACATGATTGTATATCTAGAAGACCCCATCATCTCAGCCCAAAATCTCCTGAAACTGATAAACAACTTCAGCAAAGTCTCAGGATACAAAATCAACGATCAAAAATCACAAGCATTCCTATACACCAGTAATAGACTTCAAGAGAGCCAAATCAAGAACGAACTGCCATTCACAATTGCTACAAAGAGAATAAAATACCTAGGAATACAACTAACAAGGAACGTAAAGGACCTCTTCAAGGAGAACTGCAAGCCATTGCTCAACGAAATAAGAGAGGATACAAACAGATGGAGAAACATTCCATGTTCATGGTTAGGAAGAATCAACATCGTGAAAATGGCCATACTGCCCAAAGTAATTTACAGATTCAACGCTATTCCCATCAAGCTACCAATGACCTTCTTCACAGAACTGGAAAAAAACACCTTAAACTTAATATGGAACCAAAAGAGAGCCCGCATAGCCAAGTCAATTCTAAGCAAAAAGAGCAAAGCAGGAGGCATCACACTACCGGACTTCAAACTATACTACAAGGCTACAGTAATCAAAACAGCATGGTACTGGTACCAAAACAGAGATATAGACCAATGGAACAGAACAGAGGCCTCACAGGAAATACAACATACCCACAACCATCTGATCTTCGACAAACCTGACAAAAACAAGCAATGGGGAAAGGACTCCCTGTTTAATAAATGGTGTTGGGAAAACTGGCTAGCCATGTGCAGAAAGCAGAAACAGGACCCCTTCCTGACACCTTACACCAAAATTAACTCCAGATGGATTAAGGACTTAAACATCAGACCTAACACCATAAAAACCCAAGAAGAAAATCTAGGCAAAACCATTCAGGACATAGGTGTAGGCAAGGACTTCATGACCAAAACGCCCAAAGCAATGGCAACAAAAGCCAAAATAGACAAATGGGACCTAAGCAAACTCCACAGCTTCTGCACGGCAAAAGAAACAGTCAGTGGAGTGAATTGGCAACCAACAGAATGGGAAAAAATTTTTGCAGCCTACCCATCTGACAAGGGGCTGATATCCAGAATTTACAAAGAACTAAAGCAGATCTACAAGAAAAAAACAAACAAGCCCATTCAAAAATGGGCAAAGGATATGAACAGATACTTTACAAAAGAAGACATACAGGAGGCCAACAAACATATGAAAAAATGCTCATCATCACTGGTCATCAGAGAAATGCAAATCAAAACCACATTGAGATACCATCTCACACCAGTTAGAATGGCGATCATTAAAAAATCGTGAAACAACAGATGCTGGAGAGGATGTGGAGAAATAGGAACACTTTTACACTGTTGGTGGGAATGTAAATTAATTCAACCATTGTGGAAGACAGTGTGGCGATTCCTCAACGACCTAAAAATAGAAATCCCATTTGACCCAGCAATCCCATTACTGGGTATATATCCAAAGGATTATAAATCATTCTACTACAAGGACACGTGCACACGAATGTTCATTGCAGCACTGTTTACAATAGCAAAGACCTGGAACCAACCCAAATGCCCAACGATGATAGACTGGATAGGGAAAATGTGGTACATATACACCATGGAATATTACGCAGCCATCAAAAACGATGAGTTCACATCCTTTGTAGGGACATGGATGAACCTGGAAACCATCATTCTCAGCAAACTGACACAAGAGCAGAAAATCAAACACCGTATATTCTCACTCATAGGCGGGTGTTGAACAATGAGAACACATGGACACAGGGAGGGGAGCACTACACACTGGGGTCCGTTGGGGGGAAATGGGGGAGGGGCGGGGGGTGGGGAGGTGGGAAGAGATAGCATGGGGAGAAATGACAGATACAGGTGAGGGGATGGAAGGCAGCAAACCACACTGCCATGTGTGTACCTATGCAACAATCTTGCATGTTCATCACATGTACCCCCAAACCTAAAATGCAATAAAAAATAAATAAATAAATAAAATAAAATAAAAATAATAATAAAAACTAAAAAAAAAAAAAAAGAATTTTTCAACTATTATTTTGGGGTGAGGAGAGGTTGAGTAATCAGGTAACAATTTTAAAGTTTTTTTTTTATTTTAAAAAACTCCATAATCAAAGTTTTCCTAATGATGTAGATTGGGAGAAAAAATTGTCAAAAGTGCCATTATTGGTAAATAATTCTAGGGTTCCTTAGAATAATTAGAATAATTCTAGTTTCCTTAGAACCCTAATTCTAGGGTTCCTTAGAATTTTTCATTTTTTGAAGAATTTATATATGCATCTCTAAGAGATCTTTGGCCAATTTTTTGTGACTGATACGGTAAGGTTGACCAGTTCAAAGTTCATTTTCAATCCCTTCCTCCCTTACTTGGCTCTAACATGGAGGAAATAAAGGAAAAGACTTCCCAGCTTCCTTGATGCTATGGTAGTTATGCAAGACAGTTCTGTTCAATGAGAACCAAGAAGCTACCTGCTAAGCTGCTGTTTCCTCTCCTTTATTTTTGCTACCTGAAACAAGAACTAGAGATGCAGCAGTACTTTGGTGACCCTGTTGCAATAATCATATAGACAATAGATTAAAAGCATGAGGATTAAAAAGCCAAAATATATACAGTTTATAGATATATAAAAACATATTTATATAGTTTTATAAAGTTACATATATTTATATATAATTATACATATATGGATCTTAGAATAGTGCTTAGTTGATATTTTTACATACCAGACACATTTTGGTTTCCAAAACTTGGACATGTATTAAGATCCAATACACATTTTACCATCCAGGAATTTTCTCAAGGTTATATTGCAGAAAATTTTAAAGCCTGTTATTCTGCTCTAATGTAATTACTCTTTTTCTGCTATGCCTCTGTCTTTTTTCTAAGTATGCCTCTCTTGGACATAATTTTAATAATTTACAATATGAAGAGACGCAGGCTTTATTTGTAGCAGCATTGTATTAACATGAAAGAGATAATCCTGCTCTCTCTTTGATAATCCAACTGAATCTAGAATATTGGTGGGCTGCAGGGGTTAGAGGGTTTCCAACACATACTGGAAGGTCTTTAAAAGATAATGCTGTATGAGAGATTCATGCAGCCAAGAAGGAAGGGGTTGGTCCCTCATAACTCTGATATCCTCTGGCCCCAGCTTTCTCTTTTTTCCTCTCCTGCCTGTTTGATGGCACCTAGGACCATTGGTGGCACCACTTTGAGTTTTTCTCAGTCTCAAGGTTGTAGTCAGGGTGGAAGAAGTAGAAGAACAAGCCTTCTTTCACACTACTGGTTGGTAGCCTATGCCATAGCTAATCTGATTTCTTTTCAAGCCAGTGACAGTCACTTTTTTTTTTTTTAAATGAAGATCTCGTTCCTTTGTGCAGGCTGAAGTGCAGTTACCGTCATAGCTCACTGTAACTTCAACCTCCTAGGCTCAAGTCATCCTTCTGCCTCAGCCTTCTGGATAGCTGGAACTACAGGTGCATGCCACAACACCCAGCTAATTTAATATAAAAGAAGTTGTTTTTTTTTGTTTGTTTGTTTTGTTTTGTTTTGTTTTGTTTTAGGGACAGGGTCTCATTATGTTGATTAGGCTGGTCTTGAACTCTTGGCCTCAAGCAGTCCTCTTGCTTTGACCTCCCAAAATGCTGGCATTACAGACCTGAGCCACTGTGCCCAGCCTGATGGTCACTTTTAGGAGTGGGTTCATTTGCTTCCAGGATCCACCTTCCCATTTCTCTCAGAGTTCTTTGTCCGCCTCCCAGCCCCAGGGACTTTGCCCTTCCTTTCACAGCTAGACACTGTGACAGCCTCTGCAATTTGCCTGATGCACAGTTGCCACAAGCCTTCAATTTGGAAGAAAATGCAGTATTTGAAAAGTAAAAAGTATAATAAAACAAAGCACAATTAAACGAGGTATGCTTACAGAGAGAGTGTCTGGGTCCCTGAGTTGCCATAAAAGCGTTGCTGGACTCATGTTATGTGAGACCTGATGGGTTGAACTAGTGTTAGTTGGGTTTTTGTTGTTTGCAACCAAACCCATTCCCTAACTGATTTATTTACCTTCTTTTTATGATTAAAATCTTCCCAATTACTAATTGGTATGAATTGCTGATTATAAATGAAATGCACAAAATACAAGTGTTTATAACATTGCTATAATAAACTAAAATACTTGGTTGATAAATTAAAACTTTAAGCTTTTGGCTGTCAGAAATATGTGTTTGTATGTGTATGTGTATATATATGTAAATATATATATAATAAATTTGATTGTCAGAATAAAAGTATATGAGGTTTCTTAATACTTTATAATATTTAACATTTAAAAAATCAGCATCATAAAGATACATTTTAGACTTAAAAGTATCTTGACGTGTAGCTCGATTTTCTTTTTTTTACAGGTAGGAAAATTGAGATCTTGAGAGTAGATATGTAACTTATTCAGAATTACTTAATTACTGATTTTTCTCTTATTACTTTCTAGAATGTAGTCTAAGAGCACTGAATCGAGTACTACATGATGAAATTCTTAATAAACCTATGGAAACACTTAAACTTGCTATTCCATCAGGGATATATACTCTTCAGAATAATTTACTGTATGTGGCACTATCAAATCTAGATGCAGCTACTTATCAGGTACTTAAAATACATTTCTTTTTTAAAAACTTTTTTTCTTATATATAATAATTGTACATATTTATCCAATGCATAATGATCAAATCAGAGTATTTAGGATATCCATCTCCACAAACATTTATCATTTCTTTGTGTTGGGAACATTTTAAATCTTCTCTTCTAGTTACTTTGAAATTTTGAGTAAATTATGGTTAACTGTAGTCACCTTCCTGTGCTAACACTCGAACTTACTCCTTCTACCTAACTCAATTTTTGTACGCATTAACCAATCTCTCTTTATTCCTGCCCTTGCCCTTGCATCTTTCCCATCCTCAGGTAACTATCATTCTGCTATCTACCTCCGTGAGATCACTTTCTTTCTTTTTTAGCTCCCATATATGAGTGAAAATATATTTGTCTTTCTGTGCCTGGGTTGTTTCACTTAACATAATATTAACCTCCAGTTTCATCCATGTTGTTGCAGATGACAGGATTTCATTCTTGTTATAGCTGAATAGTATTTCTTTATGCATTTATCCATTGCTGGACACTTAGGTTGAGTTCATATCTTAGCTATTGTGAACAATGCTGCAATAAATATGGGGCTTGAGGTATCCCTTTGATATACCAATTTCCTTTCCTTTGGATAAATACCCAGTAGTGGGATTGCTGGAATGTCTGGAAGTTCTATTTTGAAGTTTTTTTGCGAATGCTTTGTTCTGTTTTCCATAGTGGATGTGGAAAACTAATTTACATTCTCAGCAGCAGTATACAAGAGCTCCTTTTCCACTACATCCTCACCAGTACTGGTTATTTTACTTATTTTTGATAATAACTATTCTAACAGGGGTAGGATGATACATCACTGTGGTCTTGATTTGCATTTCCCTGATGACTAGTTGATCATTTTTTCATATACTTGTTGAATATTTGTATGTCTTCTTTTGAGAAGTGTTTATTCAGGCCCTTTGCCCACTTTTTAATGGGATTATTGGTTTTTATGTTGTTGAGTGCCTGATATATTATGGATATTAGTCTCTCATCAGATAATTAGTGCAAATATTTTCTCCCATTCTATAGATTGTCTCTGTATTGTTTTCTTTGCTTTGCAGAAGCTTTTTAGTTTAATATAGTTCCATTATTCTATTTTTGTTTTCATTGCCTGTGCTTTCTTCTTATGTATTTTTAAAAGTATGGAACACTTCATGAATTTGTGTGTCATCCTTATGCAGGGGTCATAATAATCATCTCTGTATCACTCCAATTTTACTGTATGTGCTGCTGAAGCAAGCACTGCCTGTTCTTTTGAAATAACAGCCATAAAATCTGCCCTGACCAATGTCCTGAAACATTTCTCCTCTGTTTAGTAGTAGTTTTATCGTTTTGAGTCTAATGTGTAAGTCTTCAATCCACTTTGAGTTGATTTTTAAAATACGGTTAGCGATGGGATCTAGTGTCATTTTCTTCCTATTCACATCTAATTTTCCCAGCGTCAGGATGTCTTTTGTCTGTCTGATGTATGCTCCTGGCACCTTCATTAAAAATCAGTTGGCTGTAAACACGTAAATGTATTTTGGGGTTCTCTGTTTTGTTCCATTGGTCTTTGTGTCTGTTATTAAAGAAATTGCATGCTATTTTGGTTACTGTAGCCTTGTAGTATATTTCAAAGTCATAGTGTGATGCCTCTACCTTCGTTCTTTTTGCTCAGGGTTGCTTTGGCTATTCTGGGTCTCTGTGGTTCCATTTGAATTTTAGGATTGTTTTTTCTGTTTCTGTGAAGAAAGTCATTGGTATTTTGATGGGGATTGTACTGAATCCATAGGTCACTTTTGGTAATATGGTGATTTTAACAATATTAATTCTTTTAATCCAGGAGCATGGGATGTCTTCCCATTTGTGTCCTCTTCTGTTTCTTTCATTGGTGTTTTGTAGTTTTTCTTGTAGAGATCTTTTGTCTCCTTAGTTAAATTTATTCCTAGATTTTTTTGTAGCTATTGTAAATAAGCTTGCTTTCTTTATTTCTTTTCCAGCTAGCTTGTTATTTGTTTATAGAAATGATACTGATTTTTGTATGTTGATTTTGTATCCTGAAACTTAACTGAATTTGTTTATCAGTTCTAAGAATTTTTTAAAAGGAATCTTTAGGGTTTTCTCTATATAAGATCATGTCATTTGCAGAGAGGGACAATTTGACTTTCTCTTTTCCAGTTTGGATGCCTTTTATTTCTCTCTTTTGCCAGATTTTGTTCCAGTTTTTTGTTTGTTTGTTTGTTTGTTTGTTGAGACAGAGTCTCACCTGGTTACCAGGCTGGCATGCAGTGGTGCAATCTTGGCTCACTGCAACCTCTGCCTCCCAGGTTCAAATGATTCTCCTGTCTCAGCCTCCCAAGTAGCTGGGACCACAGGGGTCCACCACCACGCCTAGCTAATTTTTGTATTTTTAGTAGAGATGGGGTTTCACCATGTTGACCAGGATGATCTCAATCTCTTGACCTCGTCATCCGCCTGTCTTGGCCTCCCAAAGTGCTGGGATTACAGGCGTGAGCCATGTGCCTGGCCTGTTCCAGTTTTTAAAGGAAAGCCTTCCAACTTTTCCCCATTCAGTATATTAGTTGTGTGTTTGTCTTATATGGTCTTTATTATGTTGAGATATGTTCCTAGGAATATTTTAAATTTTATCAAATGCTCTTTCAGCATCTATTGAGATGATCATAAGGTTTTTATTCTTTATTCTGTTGATGTGATATATTACATTTATTGATTTTGCATATATGTTAAATCATCTTTGCATCCTCGGTACAAATCCCACTTGATTATGGGGAATAATCTTTTTTTATGTGCTGTTGGAATCGATTTGTTAGTATTAATATTTAGGTCAGGATATTTTGTCTTGACTTTTGGGTTCTCTATTGTTCTATGCAGGAATATTCAGCTATAGTTTTCCTTTTTTGTTGTGTCCTTGTCTGGTTGTGGTATCAGGGTAATGCTGGCCTCACAGGATGAGTTAGGAAGAATTCCCTCCATTTGATTTTTTGGAATAGTTTGAGGAGAATTGGTGTGTGTTCTTTATAAGCTCAGTAGAATTCATAAGTGAAGCCATCTAGTCCTGGACTTTTCTTTCTTGGGAGGCTTTTAAAGTGCTGATTGAATGTTGTTACTTGTTATTGGTTTGTTTAGGTTTTTAATTTCTTCTTTGTTCAATCTTGGTAGGTTGTATGAATCCAGGAATCTATCCGTTTCCTGTAAGTTTTTCAGTTTGCTAGCATATCGTTGTTCATAATAGTTTCTAATGATCCTTTGTATTTCTGTGGTATGGTCTGTATTGTCTCCTCTTTTGTTAGTGGTTTTATTTGGGTCTTCTCTCTTTTCTATTTGGTTAGTCTAGTTTGTAGTTTATTGATTATACTTATCTTTTCAGGAAACCAATTTTTCTTTTGTTTCATCCTCTGTATTTTTGCTTAGACTCTATTTTATTTAGTTCTGCCCTGATCTTTTGTTGTTGTGGTGGTGGTGGTTTGGTTGGTTGAGAGAGTCTCACTTTGTTGCCCACACTGGAGTGCCATGGCACAGTCATAGCTTACTGCAACTCAAGAAACCTCAACCTCCTGGCCTCAAGAAATCCTCCCACCTCAACCTCCTGAGCAGCTGAGAATATAGGCGTATGCCACCATGCCTAATAATTTTTTTTTTTTTTTTTGTAGAGACGGGGTCTTAATATTTTGCCCAGTTTGGTCTTGAACTTCTGGCCTCAAATGATCCTCCCGCCTGGCCTCCCAAGGTGCTGGGATTACAGCTATGAGCCACCATGCCTAGCTTGCTTCATCTTTATTATTTCTTTCCTTCTTTTAGTTTTGGGTTTGGTTTGTTCTTGGTTTTCTAGCTTCTCAAGGTACATTAGGTTGTTTATGTGAATCTTTCTAATTTGTTGATGTAGGCATTTATTGCTATAAACTTCCCTTTTATCACTGCTTTTGCTGTATCTCATAGGTTTTGGTATGTTGTGTTTCAATTTATATTTGTTTTAAAAAATTTTTCTTGGCTGGATGTGGTGGCTCACGCCCGTAATCCCAGCACATTGGGAGGTGAAGGCGGGTATATCTCCTGAGGTAAGGAGTTTGAGACCAGCCCTGGCCAAAAAGCTGAAACCCTGACTCTACTAAAAATACAAAAATTAGGCATCGTGGCAGATGCCTGTAATTCCAGCTACTCGGGAGGCTGAGGCAGGACAATCGCTTGAACCCAGGAGGCGGAGGTTGCAGCAAGCTGAGATCGCACCACTGCACTCCAACCCAGGCAACAAGAGCGAAACTCCATCTCAAAAAAAAAAAAAGAAAAAAGAAAATTTTCTCTTTTGGTCTGAGAAGATACTTGATATGATTTCAAAAAATGTGTTGAGACTTGCGGCCTAATATATATTCTATTCCAGAGAATGCCCCATGTGCTGATGAGAAGCATGTGTATTCTGCAACTGTTAGATGCAGTGTTTGTTCTGTGAATGTCTGGGAGTTTTGTTAGATATAAAATGTAGTTTAAATCCTCTAATATGTCTTTTGTTGATTTTCTGTCTAGATGATCTGTTGCAATACTGAGAGTGGGGTTTGACGTCCCCAGTTATTACTATATTAGAGTCTATCTCTCTCTTTAGAGCTGTTAATATTTGCTTAATGTATCTAGGTGCTCCAATGTTGGGTACATATATGTTTAGAATTGCTATATAGTCTTGTTGAATTGATCCCTTTCATTATATAATTACTTCTTTGTCTCTTTTAACAGTTTTTGATCTAAAGTCTATTTTATATAAATATAGCTATTTCTGCTCATTTTTGGTTTCTGTTTGCATGCAATATCTCTCCATCCTTTACTTTCAGTCTATGTCTGTCTTTACAGGTAAACTGTGTTTCTTGTAGGTAGTGTGTATTTGACTTATGGCTTTTTAAATCCATTTTGCCAGTCCACATATTTTATGTTGGAAATTTATTTACATTCACAGTTAATTATTGATAGAGGGAGATTATTCCTTCATTTTGTCAATTGTTTTCTGTAATGTGTTAATAATGTTTGAATCCTTTCTCTTTATCATTTGTGTATCTGCTTTTCCAGTGAGTTTTATATTTTCATGTGCTTTTATCATGATAGATACTGACTTTCAGGTGCAGGACTCCTTTAAGAACCTTTTTCTTTTTCTTTCTTTCTTTCTTTTTTTTTTTTTTTTTTTTTTTGAGACAAGGTCTGGCTGTATCACCCAGGCTGGAGTGCAGGGGCACAGTCTTGGCTTACTGCCACTTCTGCCTCCCAGGCTCAAGCCATCTTCCCACAACCTCCCAAGTAGCTGGGACTACTGGTGCACACCACCATGCCTGGCTAACTTTCATATGTTTTTAGAGACAAGGTTTTGTCATGTTTCCCAGGCTGGTCTCAAACTCCTGAGCTCGAGAGATCTCCCCACCTTGGCCTCCCAAAATGTTGGGATTACAGGTGCCTGGCCTAAGCATTTCATATATGCCTGGTTTAGTGGTGATTAGTTTCCTTAGTTTTTCCTTGTCTAGGAAAGACTTTATCTTTCATTTTATTTTAAAATTTTATCTATTTTTAAATTTTAAATGTATTTTGATTTATTTTTTGATTTTTTTATTTTCTAAAGAAGTGATGTCTTGCTGTGCTTCCCAGGCTGGAGTGCAGTGGCTGTTTACAGGCACAATATGGTGCACTGCAGTCTCAAACTCCTGGGCTCAACCTGTCCTGCCTCATCCTTCCAGGCACTAAGACCACAAGCACACTCTATCATGCCTGGCTTCACATTTGTTTGGTTTTTTTTTGAGATGGAGTCCTGCTTCATCACCCAGCCTAGAATGCAGTGGTGTGATCTCGGCTCACTGCAACCCCTGCCTCCCAGGTTCAAGTGATTATTCTACCTCAGCCTCCTGAGTAGCTGAGATTACAGCTGCACACCACCACACCCTGCTAACTTTATGTTTTTAGTGGAGACAAGGTTTCATCATTTTGGCCAGGCTGGTCTCGAACTTCTGTCTTCAGGTGATCCACTTGCCTCAGCCTCCCAAAGTGCTGGGATTATAGGCATGAGCCATCACGCCCAGTCTGCATTCATAACAATAGTTTCACTGTGTATGGTATTATTATTATTATTATTATTATTATTTTTGAGACAGAGTCTTGCTCTGTCGCCCAGGCTGGAATGCAGTGGTGAGATCTTGGCTCACTGTAACCTCTGCCTTCTGGATTCAAGCAGTTCTCCTGTCTCAGCCTTCTGAGTAGCTGGCGGGATTAACAGTGTCCACCACCATGCCCAGCTAATTTTTGTATTTTTAGTAGAGATGGGGTTTCACCATGTTGATCAGGCTGGTCTCGAACACCTGACATCGTGACCCACCCACCTTAGCCTCCCAAAGTGTTGTGATTACAGACATGAGACCATGCCCAGCGTATGAAGTATGGCATTTTTATCTGGCAGGTTTTTTTTTTTTCTTTCAGGATGTTGAACATATTATCTCATTCTCTCCTGGCCCATAATGTTTCTCTTAAAAATCTGCTGTTTGACTGATGGAGATTCCCTTATATGTAACTTGATGCTTTTCTCTTGCTGTTTTTAGCATTTTCTCTTTGTCTTTTGCCTGTTGCAACCTAATTTACAATAAAAAGGTTCAATTCATTTTGCATTTTTGCCTAAAGAATCCAAATTTCTCTGGTACATCAGATTCCTGAGAGTAGCATTAACTGAAGCTTTAGACCCCAGTTCCCAGCCAGGTGCAATCACCAGGCATAGTGCCATAGTTCTTATTTCTAATAGTACTCTTAAGAAACAAACAAAAATCAATAATATTACTGTTTTCTTTTTCAGGTCACATATCAGTTGAAAATTCTTACAACAGCATTATTTTCTGTGTCTATGCTTAGTAAAAAATTGGGTGTATACCAGTGGCTCTCTCTAGTAATTCTGATGACAGGAGTTGCTTTTGTACAGGTAACTAACTATTCAAGATAAGTATATATTTTTTATATTTATCACAGTTTCAAAACCGTATTTATTTTGTCTGGAGAATATGGTTCTATTGTTTGTTGAAGCCAGCAAATGTTATTCCTCACAACTAACGTCTGTTTTGAGGGCTTCCTTTTTGTGACATACTACATTGGGAGCGTAAGTAATACAGAGGAATTAATCAAAATAAAATTATATTACCTACAGAAATGAACATTCTAATTAGGGAAATAAGATACTGCATTTTAAAGAAAGTTGATTTTTGCTGGCTATCTGTAGCATTTAAGATTACTAGCCACTACCTTTTTATTTTCTGTCACTTTCACTGATACCATTTTTTCCTGGTTCTTTTATTTTTCTAATGATTCCTTACTGGTTTTCTTCATAGGTATTTCTTCTGTGAGACTCCCTGTAAATACTGTGGTTGCTTGCAGGCTTGTTATTTCTTCTAAGTTTTTTCTTTATTTTTGGAGATTTCATGGGGGGTTGGTTAATTTTACTATTTTTTTTCCTTTAAAAAAAAAATTATATAGAGACGGGATCTCACTATGTTTCCCAGGCTAGTCTCAAACTTCTGGGCTGAAGTGTTCATCCTGCCTCAGCCTCCCAAAGTGTTAGGCGTGAGCCACTGTGCTTGGCCTTATTATTATTTATTATTATTATTAGTCCTCAGTGATACGTGTTCTGAAGGAAGGTTTTATTAATACTTACATCCTAATAATTCCTCAGTTCATGCCATCACTTTCCCTGAAGTGTGACAATGTAAATCATGAATAAAATTTTTCTTTTTTGAGATGGAGTGCCCCTCTGTCCTAGGCTGGAGTGCAGTGGTCCAATTTCCTCCCACTGCAACCTCTGTCTCCCAGGTTCAAGTGATTCTCCTCAGCCTTCCAAGTAGCTGGGATTACAAGTGTATACCACCACACCTGGCTAGTTTTTATATTTTTAGTAGAGACAGGCTTTCACCCTCTTGGCCAGGCTGGTCTCGAACTCCTGACCTCGTGATCCACCGGCCTCCACCTCCCAAAGTGCTGGGATTACAGGCGTGAGCCACCATGCCCAGCCTTTCTTTTTTCCCCTTCCCCTCCCCTGTCCCCTCCCCTGTCCCCTCCCACTTCCTTCCTTTCATTCCTTTCCTTTCCTTGATGGTGTCTTGCACTGTTGCCCAGTCTGGAGTGCAGTGGCACAGTCTCAGCTCACTGCAACTTCCACCTCTCGGGTTCAAGCGATTGTCTTGCCTCAGCTTCCCCAGTAGCTGAGACTACAGTTGGCCACCACCACACCTGGCTAATTTTTTGTATTTTTAGTAGAGACAGGGTTTCACTATGTTGGCCAGGCTGGTCTCGAATTCCTGACCTCATGATCCACACACCTCAGCCTCTGAAAGTGTTGGGATTACAGGCGTGAGCCACCGTCCAGGGCCTAATATTTTTAATATTTATTTTAAATGAGTATTACAAATGTTTAATTGGCATATCAAATTCTTTTCATAAATATCGCTTAGAGTAAGCTAAAGTAGGCATTGTTTCAACCAGTAAGGTATTTTAAATTAAAAAGTTATTAATAGTTCAGGTGGAACATGAGTTTGACAAAAACCATGAAATGATAGGCAAATAATTGAAGCTTCAGGAACACAGACCTATAGGATAAAGCTCAGAGTGGTTAGTGTGACGCACTAGACCAGGCGTCCCCAAACTACGGCCTGCGGGTCGCATGCGGCCCCCTGAGGCCATTTATCCAGCCCGCCGCCGCACTTCAGGAAGGGGCACCTCTTTCATTGGTGGTCAGTGAGAGGAGCACAATATGTGGTGGCCCTCCAACGGTCTGAGGGACAGTGAACTGGCCCCCTGTGTAAAAAGTTTGGGGATGCCTGCAATAGACCTTCTGAAATGTACCTACAACTCCAGGCTCATTTCTGCTGCTGCATACTTCACACTCTGAATTACTACAACTGAGCAGCTTGTAGAGGCTATTTTGTACAGCTGAGCATTTGTCCATTCTTTCTCTTTCGCCCACAATGCCTTCTCCCCTTTCTTTGCCTGGCTGACTCCTACCTTTAAGACTCAGCTGAGTCTTAAAGTCTGCCTCTACCAGAATACCTTCCTAACATCACAGGCATAACATTTATGCCTTCTTCTCTACTACTGTGGTACTTTGTACATATCTTTTCCAAAGTATTTATCTTATAGTTAAATGCTCATTTATATGTCTGTTTACCCTTACAACTTAAGTTCCTAGAAGGCAGCAGCTATGTTTCACTGCTCCTTCCATTTTTAGTGCCTAATTAGCAAGACTTAAACACAGTTTAAGATCAGGAAAAACAATGACATTTGTTTTTAGATGACTAGTTGTCATCTGATTTTATATCCTGTAAGTATAGATCACTCCTGGGAAAGCTTCAGGGATGATATTGGAGTTAAATTAGGTGTTGAAAGATAATAATTATAATGAAATTTGCATGCTGAATACTTATGTGCCAGATACCCCACTCATTGCTTACCCTGTATTATCTTATGTTAAACCTGTTTAAGGTAGATATTATTCTTCCCAACTTATGAAAGAATTATTGCAAGTCAGAGAGGTTAATGAAATTGCTTATGTTACCAATCTAGTAGTGGCAGAGCCAGAACCAAATCTCTTTAAAACTCTTTTCACTATTTGTGTCTCAGTTGGTCTGAAATACCAGAAAAAGCATTACATAAAAGGTATGTTAAAAAAAATTCAGATGTTGATCTGTGGATGAGCACAAGCTAAGTTAAGGAGTGGTGATAGTCTTCTTTGGTGAGAACAAAGAATTCACAAAGATATAGTGAGAGATGAAATTACAAAATACAGATTGGTCCTACATTATACATGATCTTCAGTATTGAGACAGGAGCTTAGTCTTGACTGCTTTTGGCTGTAAGCCCTCACTGGAGAGTTGGAAGGGAGAGAGGCATATCAGAGAAATCTTAGAGGCATGCAGGGCAGATTGGAGGGGAGAAAGACTGAAGGAATGGAGAGGAGTAAGAAAGCGTGACAGGGACCCAAACTGGGTTAAGTTTCTGGGTAGCAGCAACTGAAATATTGGACTTGAGCTCAAAAGAGATGTCAGTGCTTCTGTGAATCAACACTCTTAGGTAGAGGGGATTTCTATAAACTACGCTGTCCAAGAGGGTAGCTAAAAGCCTTATGTAAGTATTTAAATTTAATTAGTTAAAATTAAATTAAATTTTCAGTTCCTTGGTCGCACTACCCACATTTCAAGTGCTCAGTAACCACATAAAAGTAGTGGTTACCCTGTTGGAGGGTGAAGATACAGAACATTTCTGTCATCACAAAGAGTCTGTTGGACTAGAATAAATATAAAGATTGGAGGAGAGAACCCAGGAAAAGAGTAGGTAGTTTCAAGAGGTGAGGAATGAGTATGAACTTACTCATAATAGAGAATGAACAATTTTGTTATTAAAAATTAGTTAACACATTAATTGAAAAGTCTTTGGTAGCTATGAAAAGTACAGTTTGAGAACAAAAAATGGCTTTAAGAAGTCCAGCTAGGTTGGGCATAGTGGCTCACACCCATAATCTTAGCACTTTGGGAGGCCAAGGCAGGCAGATTGCTTGAGCTCACGAGTTTGAGACCATCCTGGGCAACATGGTGAAACCCTGTCTTTACAAAAAAAATACAGAAATTAGCTGGGTATGATGGCCTGCACCTGTAGTCCCAACTACTGGGGAGGCTAAGGTAGATCACCTGAGCCCAGGGAGGCTGAGGCTGCAGTGAGCCATGATGATCATGCACTGCACTCCAGCCTGGGTGACAGAGTGAGACTATGTCTCAAAAAAAGAAGTCTAGCTAGTAGAAGATCAAACTGAGGAGGGAAGAAATAAATAAAAAAGAAAATTTAACAGTAGTTACAAGATATCACTTGATGAGATTAAGGGTCAGTAACATCCAAGCCATACGGTACCATCCCTGGTGCAATGATATGGGAGGCCCTTCCAACACATTTCGTTTCTAGTCTCCTGTACTCAGAGTTTTCCCTCACTATCTAATGGACTGTCTTTTCCTGACAGTGTTTGGGGTTCACCTCCCAATAGCTTCCCTTTATTATATTTGATTTAGCACACCAATTTCCAGCTGATCTCTACTTTTGCTGAGGCAGCAGAGAAAGAATGAGATTCTGATTCTTTCTTTTACCTATATTTGAGATGTTGCTTTTTAATAAATTAAACTATAAGGAATTATCTCAAGGTAACATTGGTCTCTGTAAGATATGAAATGTAAAATATTTATTATTTCTAAGGTACTTTTTGAAATTATGTTGTAATAGTAATATATTATCACTGTGAGGAAAAAAATCAAATGATTATAAGGTTTTATGTCAAAAGCTCTCTGCAATACCCAAAATGATATTGGTTGCATTTTTTTAAGTTATGGTCCAAGAGTGGGCTCTCGATATGTTTATGTGAAATATTATAGAAATTAAACTTCAATTTTATTTTTCTTCTTATTTAGTGGCCCTCAGATTCTCAACTTGATTCTAAGGAACTTTCAGCTGGCTCTCAGTTTGTAGGGCTCATGGCAGTTCTCACAGCATGTTTTTCAAGTGGCTTTGCTGGGGTTTACTTTGAGAAAATCTTAAAAGAAACAAAACAATCCGTGTGGATAAGAAACATTCAGCTTGGTAAGTTTGAAATGTTTTCTAATATTATTTTAAAAGTGATTATTTTGTTATATTTAAAGATTTCTATACATCTTTAAATAAATGAGCCTTGCATAAAATCTGATATTGATCCAAATATCTGGTGATGTTTTTGTCTTTTAAAAAATTTTATTTTAAATCAATGCCTTTTATTTAAGAATATGAAAAACTTACATCTGTGACATAAAGGTATATGTAGCCTGTTTCTGTCTTTACTATTTGGAGCCTTAGTAACTTTATCCTTGGTTGCCACTTCTTTCGCAGAAGTTTTTGCAAATAACTTACATATTTTATTCCTGGAAAGGATGATTAAGATAATTAAATGAAGGAAGTTTGAAATGATGAATTTTTGTGCCATTTGATTTTAAAATGTTATGTTTTAGCCCTTAAGTACTGCAGCATTTTTCTTATTGAAGGTAAATAGTTTAAAAGAAAAAACATTTCATATTGAAGCCTTTGAACAAATATTTAAACTTCTTTTAGTATTATAATATTTAAATCCCCCATGAAGATTCCAGCATTTAGTATTCCTGGCATACATTCATTTTGGATGATGGTATATAGAACTGCCCATGTGAAAAGCAACTCATCTGCAAATCAACACATTGTATTTTAAGTTTTTTGTCCTCATGACTTTGAGGTTTACCTTTGAAACCACTGGTTTTTTTCTGTCCATGTACCACTTTACACATGAGGGAACTAAAGTGTAGAGAGGTTAAATAACTTGTCAAAGCTCACATTACTGGTAAGAAATGGACTCAGGATTTGAATCCAGGTAGTGTGGCTCTGTTGTACCTTATCTGTCTTGATCAGCAGTCATATAGGCCCCTCCAGGCCCTACACATTAAATTGTCTGTACTTCTAATGGCCTATATTTTATGTCAAATCTTCCATATTTTATTAATTTTCATCCTTCTAGCTGTTTTCAAATAATGTAATAACAGATTGAACCTTCATTTTATCACATAGGATTTCTTTAAGTTTCTCTGCAAAATTTGTAGAAATGTGTCATTTTTTTCTTGAAAATATTGAAGGTAAATATTTTTAAAGCAAAATTTTATTAGCTTCTTCAGTTTGTCTAGATGGTAAGCTCACAGGCTTTAAAAGCATTAAGCAGTTTAATTCACCGTTTTAGAAGTAACGTGTCTATCGCAGAAGGGTTAAGAATACTTGGCTTTGAAGTCAGACCAGTCAAATCCTGATTTCATCACTTACCATCTATGTGACCATAGGGAAGTTACTTAGGTTTCTCTGCTTCACTTTCCTCATCTGCAAAATGGACTAAATTATACTACCTGTCTCATGTGTTACTATGAGGATTAAATGAGATTAATACATGTAAAGTGTTTATAGAATAAAGTGTCTAGGCCTGGCACTGTGGCTCACGCCTGTATTCCCAACACTTTGGGAGGCTAAGGCTGGCATATGACATGAGGTCAGGAGTTTGAGACCAGCCTGGCCAACATGATGAAACTCCGTCTCTACTAAAAATACAAAAAAATTAGCTGGATGTGGTGGCTGGTGCCTGTAATTCCAGCTACTCGGGAGGCTGAGGCAGGAGAATTGCTTGAACCAGGGAGGCGGAGGTTGCAGTGAGCTGTGATTGCGCCACTGCCCTCTAGCCTGGGCAACAAGAGCGAAACTTCATCTCAAAAGAAAAAAAAAAAAGAATAAAGTATCTTACGTATAGTGAGCACTAATAAATGTCAACTGTTTTTATTAATATGCAATATAAGAAAAAAAGAAATAGTCAAGGTTTGTGTGAGTTGCCTAAACTTTTCTTGAATTGTAAGATAAAAATGGAAGACAAAGCAGAAATCATGATTCTAATGTGCTTCATGGATTTCTTATTCTTTGGTGACCATATAAGCTCCAATGCTCATAGAAAAAAAAATAGTAACAGACTTAATGTTTTTGAAAGAGTACTTAAATAATTGTCTATCACAATTCAAAATTACAAGAACAAATTAAAACTATGTCATAGCATTTTTCAAACATCAAATTGTCAAAGATTAACATGGTAAGATCTAACATTAGCCAGAGAATAGAGAAGCAGTAAATCTATTACCCATTGTTGCCAGGAGTATATATTGATATGACCATGTTGGATTTCAATCTGGGAATATTTGCCAAAATTTTAAACACGTGTAGGCTGTAATGTAAGAATTCCAAGTCTGGATAAGGATCTATCCTATAAGAGCACAAAGTTAGATGTCAGGATTATTGTTTCAGCCATTGGTTACAATCCAAAAAAATAGGAAACATTTAGAGGACTGGTTAAATAAATTATTGATATATAGTATAGTGATTAAGATCATATTCTCTCCTAAACCCGTGATTTACTAGTAGTGTGAGCAAGTTATGCAACCACTCTGTGCTTCAGTTTTTTCATCTATAAAATGAACATGAAAGTATCTACCTCCTGGAGGTTGCGGTGAGCTGAGATCCCGCCATTGCACTCCAAGCCTGGGTAACAAGAGCGAAATTCCGTCTCAAAAAAAAAAAAAAGTATCTACCTCCTAGTGTTGTATGTGAGTTAACATACATGAAGCACTTAGAATAATTCCTGTTACATGCGGCTATATATTTTCTATTGAAATCCATACAGAGGAATATTATGCAACTGTTAGAATGAAGTAGATTGTTCATACTGACATGTATGACATACATGTATCATTTTATAATGTATACTTTTTTAGTAATTACAAAGTCTTACTTTTTTAAATTAAAAAACTTTAGCCAGATGTGGTAGCTTGTGCTACTAATCCCAGATACGGAGGCTGAGAAGGGAGGATTGCTTGAGAACCAGGAGTTTGAGATCCAGGCAACATAGTGAGACCCTATTTCTTAAAATATATATATGGCGGGATGCAGTGGCTCATACCTGTAATCCTAGCACTTTGAGAGGCCAAGGGAGGCAGATTGCTCGAGCTTAGGAATTGGGGAGACCAGCCTGAGCAACACCACAAAACTCTGTCTGTACAAAAAAACTCACAAAAATTAGCCAGGCGTGGTAGCATGTGCATGTGGTCCAAACTACTTGGAGGCTGAAGTGGGAGGATCACTTGAGTCCCAAAAAGTCAAGGCTGCAGTGAGTTGTGATTGTGCCTCTGCACTCCAGCCTGAGTGGCACAGTAAAACCTTTCTCAAAAAAAAGTGTGTGTGTGTATGTGTGTGTGTGTGTGTGTGTGTACACACACATTATATATAAAACTCATCTGATGGTATTTTATATATCTGTGTTTATGTATTTTATATATGTGTGTGTTCAAGACCAGCTTGGCCAACGTGGTGAAAGCCTGTCTCACCAAAAATACAAAAATTAGCCAGGTGTGGTGGCGTACAACTGTAATCCCAGCTACTTGGGAGGCTGAGTTGGGAAAATCACTTGAACCTGGGAGGCAGAGGTTGCAGTTGTGCCACTGTACTCCAGCCTGGGCAACAAAGCTAGATCTTGTCTCAAAAAAAAGGGATAAAGCTGGCTTAAGTGGAATTTTAGAGCGTTTCACATCCTTTTCACTTCTTTCTACTGTGGAATACTTTGATTAATTATGACTTTATTTATAAAAATTGCTTTAACTTTGTTCTCTTTTAACTGCATATATTTCAAAGGCTACCCAGAAGAAGTGGTCCTATAAGGATGAATTTTGTTCTTTATAGCCTAGCAATGCTTCTGGGAATCTCTTAGTTCCGATAGTCATATGATAGACTATGTTTTTGAGATGAGATTCAGCATGAACAAGACAGTTTCTGCTCTCATCAAGTTGACTTTCTCTAACAGTGAAACTTTAGTAACACAGAATCTAATGTCTTCTATGCCTATTTCTTAGCCATGATTTTTTTTGGATATTAGTTATTATTATACTGTCAAAACAAAACTTTATTTATTTATTTAAAGATTATCTCACTGTGTTGCTCAGACTGGAATGCAGTGGTAGAATCATAGCTCACTGTAACCTCAAACTTCTGGGCTCAAGTGATTGTCCCACCTCATCCACATGAGTAACTAGGACTACAGGCATGTACCACTACACCCAGCTAATAAAAAAATTTTTTGTAGAGTTGGAGTCTTGCTATGCTGCCTGAGCTGGTCTTAAACTCCTGGGTTCAAGTGAGTCTCCTGCTTTGGCCTCCCAAAGTGCTGGGATTTCAGGTGTCAGCCACTGTGCCCAAAACTTCTTTTTTTTTGAGACAGAGTTTTGTTCTTGTTGCCCAGGCTGGAATGCAATGGCGTGATTTTGGCTCACTACAACCTCTGCCTCCTGGTTCAAGCAATTCTCCTCCCTCAGCCTCCCAGGTAGCTAGGATTATAGGCATGCACTACCATGCCCTGCAAGTTTTTTTTGCATTTTTAGTAGAGACAGGGAGACAGGGTTTCTCCATGTTGGTCAGGCTGGTCTTGAACACCCGGCCTCAGGTGATTTGCCCACCTCAGCCTCCCAAAGGCTGGGATTACAGATGTGAGCCACTGTACCCAGCCTTGAAACTTCTTAATAAGAAAAAATACTGAAAAATACTGTACCCCCTGCCTGAGCTTTTCTTTTTCTTTTTCTTTTTCTTTTTCTTTTTTTTTTTTGAGATGGAGTCTCGTTCTCTTGCCCAGGCTGGAGTGCGGTGGTGCAGTCTTGGTTCATCACAACCTCTGCCTCCCATGTTCAAGCGATTCTCCTGCCTCAGCCTCCCGAGTAGCTGGGATTACAGGGATGCACCACCATGCCCGGCTAATTTTGTATTTTTAGTAGAGATGAGGTTTCTCCATGTTGGTTAGCCTGGTTTCGAACTCCCACGCTCAGGTGATTTGCCCACCTCGGCCTCCCAAAGTGCTGGGATTACAGATATGAGCTCCTGTGCCCAGTCCTGAGCTTTTATATTTGTATGTATGAATACTTGAAAGTCTAGAGGAAGATAGAAGAACAATGACTTATTCCAAATGTGAGCAATTTGCACATAAAATATTTGAATGGGCTAGCCATGTAATCATCTAATTTGTGCATTGTATTATTTTAGTGCTCAAAAGTTGGTAACGTCTGTTTTTTTAATATTCTATGTCTTTGTCTTTTTTTATTTGTATGTCTTTGTCTTGTAGTCATAACATAGTAATAAGTATACTTTTGTTAAGTTTACAAAACCAAGTAAAAGTTTTAAAAAGTAATCTAATTTTATCAAAAAGTTAAGTATAAAATTATTTGAAATGTCAGTGAAAAAATATATCACTTCAGACAAACTACATGATATATCATGTAGTCTTTACTTTTTTTTTTAGGTTTCTTTGGAGGTATATTTGGATTAATGGGTGTATACATTTATGATGGAGAACTGGTATCAAAGAATGGATTTTTTCAGGGATATAATCAACTGACCTGGATAGTAGTTGTTCTTCAGGTAAAGCATTTAATGTCTTAGATTTAATGCTAATAAACTCTGTTTCAATATAAAGAATCAAAGTAGCTCCTGATACACTGCTGTGAGGAAGAAAGGTTTCTCCTGTTAGTGGTCTCATTGTGTCTAGTTTATTCAAGGAAGTTAAAATAGAAGTGATCTTAATGCTGTAATGAAAACTTATTTTGAAAAGAGGTCTTTGCCGGGCACGGTGGCTCGCGCCTGTAATCCTAGCACTTTGGGAAGCCAAGGTGGGTGGATCACCTGAGGTCAGGAGTTCAAGACCAGCCTGGCCATCATGGTGAAAACCCATCTTTAAAAAAAAAAAAAAAAAAAATTAAAAAAAAAAAGAAAAGAGGTCTTTAATGAACTATGTGCTATTTAAATGTAACAATGAAAATACAAGTTTAAGAATAAAATAGTTGAAGCTAAAGGCAAATATAATTTTATTTTTCTACAAGTCTTATCATTGTACAGGAAGTCTGTGATCAGCCATTAAGACCCAAGAAGCAGCTCTAGATATTTAATTCTGTGACAGTTCATAGCCTCATATTGTAGTTACATATTGGAAAACTTCTGTCAAATTTAGTTTATATATAGCTTGAAATTGTTCAAGGGTTGAGTAATTAATTACATCTTCAGAAAATACATATTGAGAATTCTAGAGGATATAAAAATGAAGATATAAGTCACTGTCCTCAGAGCCTCCTGTTCTTCTAGAGATATTTGAAGCCTAAGAAGCAAGGTTCCAGAAAGGAAGGTGAAGACGGCAAAAGATAATTGTGTTTTAAAAGTAGGTAGGATACTTCTATTTTTAAGATAACAGAAAAGGAGACAAGAATAAAGGAAAATTTGAAAACAAAATTTAAGAGAAAATTTGAAGTGGAGTTAGGGTGAGTCAAGAGAGTTTATGCATGCTGTATCTTATTCCAGCAAAGAGAGGAAGCCCCCTTCTCTTAAAAGGGGGCTGAAGACACGAGAAAAATAAAGTTTGGCATAACTGGCATGAGGGATTCAATAGGGAGTAAATAGATGAACGACAACATTAGTAAGCTCAATTGGCATAATTTATGACTTTCTCTAAATAAAGCTTCCATCTTAGAAGAGGTATTCTGAAAGTTGTTACAGGGCCAGGGACTGTGGCTCACACCTGTAATCCCAGCACTTTGGGAGGCCAAGGCAGACGGATCACGAGGTCAAGAGATGGAGACCATACTGGCCAACACTGTGAAACGCTGTCTCTACTAAAAGTACAGAAAAATTAGTTGGCCGTCTTGGTGTGTGCCTGTAGTGTCAGCTACTCGGGAGACTGAGGCAGGAGAATCACTTGAACCTAGAAGGCGGAGGTTGCAGTGAGCCAAGATCGCACCACTGCACTCCAGCCTGGCAAGAGAGTGAGACTCAGAAAAAAGAGAGAGGGAGGGAGGGAGAGAGAGAGAGAGAGAGAGAGAGTGGAAGAGGGAGGGGGAGGGAGGGAGGGAGGGAGGGGGAGTGAGTGAGGGAGGGAGGGAGGGGGGGAGGGAGGGAGGGAGGAAGAAAGAAAGAAAAAGAAAGTTGTTATAATAGGTAACCCAGATTTGGAAATTGTTAAGTAGTCTTTGGCAGAAAGCAAAAGTGTTTTACTCATTTAATAATGAGTAAAACCTCATTATTAAAGTAGCTGAAATTGGGAATTTGACAGGGACTAGGTAGAAAGTTCTTTCTACAGTCTTAAAAAGCAAAATTAACACTGTGCTTTAGGAAGCTTAATCTGACAGCCATGAGAGGTGGATTTGAATGGGGAGAAGCTGTAGGAAAAAGGCCAAATTAAGAGGCCATTGAAAGGCTGTGACATGACTCCAATTACTAATTTTACTCAAAAGTAAAAATATTTCACTATTTAGAGTGACCAGTCCTCCCATATTTGTCAAACAAGTGATGTTTAATTACTAAATTGGATAATGATAGACATTTTATTTGTAATGTGGTCAAACTCCATTATAACAAACTGCAGATTGTCTTGGTAGTTACTTTTATTAAATGCCTTTTGAAATAAGAGGGCTATTGAACAAAACCTAGAAGTCTATTAGTTAGAGATGTTTAAAATAAATCCCTTACTATAATGGGATTGAATTTATAGGACAAAAGCCTAAAGCTTTATTAAATAATGAAATTGTTTGGAAATGCAGTTTAATATGTGTGTTTTAAAAAATATTTTTTAAAAACTTCTGCAGGCACTTGGAGGCCTTGTAATAGCTGCTGTTATTAAGTATGCAGATAATATTTTAAAAGGATTTGCAACCTCTTTATCTATAATATTATCAACACTGATCTCCTATTTTTGGCTTCAAGATTTTGTACCAACCAGGTAAAATACTCTTTTCTATTTCTTTAAGTCCCAAAAAGTATATAGAAATATTAGAATTCTTTGTAAGGTAATCTGGTAAATTTGAAGAATCACTGAAATATAATTTTAAAAATTTATTTAACTATGTTTTTAAAAATATTTCAAATTAAATTCATGAAAGAAAGTCTCCTGAAAAGTTTTTTATACAAATTTGGCTGGCCAGAATTTTCCCAATAAATAAATCTGCATATTTTCCCTACAAAGTAAAAAAGTCATATAAAAAATGTAATGTCATATAAAGTCATAAAAATAAGTCATATAATGAATGACATTTTTAAAATACAGAATTTACATAACTAAAGTTAGGAGAATGTATGACTTCCTTGAAGAAGATAGTTTATATAGAGAATGTGGCTCATTAGGAAACTCAATTAGGTGGTGGCAAGAAGAGCAGTTTGGAAAGGAATTACAGGAGGACTTACAGGCGAGGCAGGAGACCCAGTACTCTGTAGTTTTATGGATGCTAAGGGAGAAGATAGCATCAGGAAAAATTGAGTGTAATGAAGATCCATTACAGACAGTATTGAAAATTCTAATGTTTATTTATAATCCCAGACTAATGGGATTATATTTTAATTGCTTCCAGGACACCACTCTTGGTTTTCCTCCAACTTTACTCCTCTCCTAATTTTCTCAATCTCTAATCTTTGGAATCTCCCAAGGATCTTTTATGTATTTATTTATTTGTTTATTATTTATATATTTATATTTTTGAGACAGTATCTCAGTTTGTCACCCAGTCTGCAGTGCAGTGGCACAATCGTAGCTCACTGCAGCTTCAGGTTCCTGGGCTCAAGCAATCCTCCTGCCTCAGCCTCCTGGATAGCTGGGACTATAGATGTGCTGTGTTGCCCAGGCTGATCTAGAACTCCTTATCTCAAGCAATCATCCTGTCTCTGCCTCTCAGAGTGCTGGGATTATAGGCATATGCCACTGTGCCTAACTCATTTGTGTTTTTGAGAGTAAAATAGGATTATGGTTGGAATTTGCCACTAGAAAAATCTAATATGCTTTTTATATTTTTATATTGAACATTTATGGTTTTAATTCTTTTTTAGCAATTCTAGACAATAGATCTGGAACATACATGTTGACATCTGTAGTTCTTATGAGACAAAAATTTTAAAGCATATCTGTTTTCAGCTTGGTATGGAAATGAATCACTTAGCTAGTGAGACCAGACTAACAGTGAACACTTATATCTTAATTTCTTAATCTGAATCTTATTCCCTGTTCATTAGATGAAGAAAGTATATGGTTTAATATAATTTGAGAATGTTTTGAACTTTCAGATTTTTAGATTTTACTTTAAAAAGCATACCTTTAAAAAAAAACAAAACTGAGCTGGCCGGGCACAGTGGCTCAAGCCTGTAATCCCAGCACTTTGGGAGGTCGAGGCGGGTGGATCACGAGGTCAGGAGATCGAGACCATCCTGGTCAACATGGTGAAACCCCATCTCTACTAAAAATACAGAAAATTAGCTGGGCATGGTGGCGCGTGCCTGTAATCCCAGCTACTCAGGAGGCTGAGACAGGAGAATTGCCTGAACCCAGGAGGCGGAGGTTGCGGTGAGCCGAGATCGCGCCATTGCACTCCAGCCTGGGTAACAAGAGCGAAACTCCATCTCAAAAAAAAAAACAAAAAAAAAAACTGAGCCATATGTAAAGCTGAGGTAATTAAATCTTTGAATTATACAGAGAAAAAAAAAACAAATAAATGAACAAGTAAACCAACAGAGGGACAAAGAGTAGTAGTTTGGCAATGAGATATACACCGGCCGGTGAATTATGTTTCTGAGGAAATATGTAAGGTTTGTTGGGTTGAAGACAGAAGAGAAAAGACAATGATACTGCTATTATTGAATGAATGAAAGAATGAATGAATATTTTGAGGATATGTTTAGGACACCAAGCTAGATGGGGAAGTTGGATTTTTCCTAAAATAGATAACTAAGCTCTCTATCTTTATGCATGTTACTTTTGTGAAGAATCCATTTTCAGTATTAAATCTAATGACATTTTCTCAATCTTCATTCAATTCTATTCTAAATGTACTATTTGCCATTAGCCCCATTCCACCTCCTGAAACTGGGTTTTTGTTTGTTTGTTTGTTTTGGCTTCTCTGAAAGGGTATGCCTATACTTACCTTTCTGATTGTCCCTTTGGTAACTTTCAATCCTTGCTTACTGTCTTGGCCATCTCATCCACTGCCATGTCCTATCTGTCTTCTCTATGCAGATAAGTTTAAATTTCACATAAACTCTAGATCCCTTTATTCTATTGACTATTAGACATCTCTGCTGATACAATATCACTAGTACCCACACTTTCTTAAATTATTTTTCTTGTGCTTGTTATTTTGCTTATTGCTATTACCATTCTTTCAGTTAGGGTTGCTTATTCTTTTATCAAAAGTTTACTAAGTGTCTGCTATGTGCCTACTGGCCACTGTGCTAGCTCCTGGAAAAGGAGTGCATGAATGAGACACAATTTCTTGTCTTCAAGGTCATCACAGTGATTGGAGAGACAGACATGAATAATTACAACAGTATGATCAATGCAACAATAGAAGTATACATAATAATTCTGTTAGAGGATACTCAAATCCTTGAAATAATCATGACATTCTGATAATTTTTTCCTAATATTTTTTTCTGAGACAGTTTTCTCTCTCAGAACCATCTAAAAATTGCTGGCTTGAAAAACAGGTCGGTATTCAAATACATCCTGCTAAAGACATAGAAAGGAAGCCTGCAGTGGATATAAAGGTAGATCATATAATCTTTCAGTTGAGCATGAACTTTCAGTCCCTGCTATTGCGGACTTCCAGAAAGCTAAGAATAGTTCATAATGACTGATGAAGACAGTATCCAGTAATTAATAATTACCAAATATTAATGTGGTAGCAGTTTCTTCAAGATACATTATAGGATGTTTTATGTTATCCTAATAATCTTATATTTATAGCTGCATTCAGGTCTTTTGAAAAGTTAACCATTTGCATCAAGTCAAATCTAGTTATTAATCATAACAGATAATTACTGAGCTCCCTACATATGCTAGGCACTGTGGGCACCACAGTGAATGAAGAGCACATGGTTGAGCAGGGGAGTGGACCTGTAAATAATGTATCATTTAATGACACAGTGTGGTAAGTGTTATGATAGGGTAGTTGTGCCTCCAGGAGTGAGTCTTGGAGACATTAGACCTGAATTGTTATTTTTCTTTAGAGGCAAGGAAACTGGACAGAGGGAATAGTATCTCTGAAGACACTGTCGTGAAAGGATATGCTGTGTTCCCTGAGTGGAGTGGCTGAATTAATAGACTGGGTGGCATGAGTGGGAGGATGAGTTTGGGGGGACCTTATTATGAAGGGTCTTTTAGTAATAATTAGTAATTATTTTTCACTTACAGACAATTAAAAAAAAAAACAACCCAGGAGCATGGCTTTGAACTATTAGTAGAAACTTTAAAAGCAAAACTAACTTATGTCTCTATAATAGCATTTTTTTAAATGTACACATTAAAAGTTAAGATTCCACTTTGGAAGGCCATGGTGGGCGGATCACTCTAGGTCAGGAGTTCAAGACCAGCCTGGCCAACATGGTGAAACCCCGTCTCTACTAAAATACAAAAAATTAGCCAGGTGTGGTGGCACACACCTGTAATCCCAGGTACTTGGAGGCTGAGGCAGGAGAATTGCTTGAACCTGGGAGGTGAAGTTTGCAGTGAGCTGAGATCACATCGCTGCACTCCAGCCTGGGCAACAGAGTGAGACTCCATTTCAAAAAAATAATAAAGTTAAGATTCAGGTTGGGCACAGTGTCTCATTCACAGCACATTGGGAGTTTGAGGCAGATCACTTGAGCCCAGGAGTTCAAGATCAGTCTGGGCAACAAAGTGAGACCTCGGCTCTGCAAAAAATAGAAAAATTAGCCAGGTGGGGTGGTTTGCACCTGTAGTCCCAGCTACTTAGGAGACTGAGTTGGGAGGATTGCTTGAACCCCACAGTCGAGGCTGCAGTGAGCCATGATCGCAGCACTGCACTCCAGAGCTTGGACGACCGAGTGAGACTCTGTCGTTAAATGAATAAATGAATGCATGCATGCATGCATGCCCGCCCAGGTGCGGTAGCTCATGCCTGTAATCCCAGCACTTTTGGGGGCCAAGGCAAGAGGATCACCTGAGATCGTGAGTTCAAGACCAGCCTGACCAACATGGTGAAACTCTATCTGTACTAAAAATACAAAGTTACTTGTGCGTGGTGGCACCTGCCTGTAATCTCAGCTACTCGGGAGGCTGAGACAGGAGACTCTCTTGATCCCAGGATGCAGAGGTTGCCAAGATCGCGCCATTGCACTCCAGCCTGGCGAACAAGAGTGACATTTGTCTCCAAAAAAAAATACTAATATTTGTAGTCTGGTTTACACATCCAGTCTAAATTCATTTCCAATTTATTGTAAGGTAGACTATATCTATAGTTACATAGGATAAAGAGGAAACCAAGAATTCCCCGTATTTAATGTAATTTCCTTTTGTAAAGCATCCTATAAAAATTGGTTCTGAGTTTTGCCTGTTATTATGGATTTTAAACTAAACTTTGCCTTGGTTTAACATAAAAATTTTCCTTCCATATGTTCAACTAAAGAATTAAGAACTGGCCGGGCACGGTGGCTCAAGCCTGTAATCCCAGCACTTTGGGAGGCCGAGGCAGGTGGATCACGAGGTCAAGAGATCGAGACCATCCTGGTCAACATGGTGAAACCCCGTCTCTACTAAAAACACAAAAATTAGCTGGGCATGGTGGCGCGTGCCTGTAATCCCAGCTACTCAGGAGGCTGGGGCAGGAGAATTGCTTGAACCCAGGAGGCGGAGGTTGCGATGAGCCGAGATCGCGCCATTGCACTCCAGCCTGGGTAACAAGAGCGAAACTCCGTCTCAAAAAAAAAAAAAAAAAAAAGAATTAAGAACTGTCGTTATTGAATTTATTGCATACAAAATCTCTATTAAGTTGAAACTTAAAATCCCTATTAAGATGAAACTTCCTCTTGAAGTTATGGGACTTCTGACAAGTTATTTAAATTCTTTAAAACTGTTTCTTCATATGTAAAAAATGAAGATAATACTAGTACGTCTTCATAGAGTTGTGAGAATTCAATGAAACGATGCATATAAAGCACTTAGCGAGATACCTGGAATGTAGTAAGTACTCAAGAGTTTTTAGCCATGTTACTGGAACGTTTTGCCCCAAATTATAATTGTTTTTATAGTAAGAAAATAGAAGGAACTTGTTTTGCTTTTAATCTGATTTTCTCTTTTTTATTTTGTCTTCGTCTTATTCAGTGTCTTTTTCCTTGGAGCCATTCTTGTAATAACAGCTACTTTCTTATATGGTTATGATCCCAAACCTGCAGGAAATCCCACTAAAGCTTAGTTGTATACTATCTTTAACTGGTTTTTCACGATGGTCCACTAGGAATCTCGACATTAATCTTGCACAGAGGACTTCTACAGAGTCTGTGAAGATATCATCATGCTGAATCTGATCATATTGTTTAAATGGTTAAAAATATAAAAGTTTAAGGATAAAATATGTGTATATGTAACAAAACACATTGCATCTAGAAATCAAAACTTAAGAGTATTTCCAGGGATTAGAATTAGAAGGAATATTAGTGGAAACTTGAAATCTGAGTTTAAAAAGATTTTACCTTTTTGGTTGCTGCAGAAATGTTCTATGCACTCTTTGCAAGAGCACACAACAAATGTCAAATATCAATTTTTGCAAATTAGATTTAATCTTATTCAATGTTTTTATCTTACTCTTTCTGTACAGCTATATCAAATCACATGAAATATTCAAAGTTTGAAAATTATAATTACCTATAAAGCTGTGAAAAAAATAGAAATATAATTTGAAAAAACATTTCACTTATCAGAGATTTTTATATTTATACAAAAGATTACTAAATGAAGGATTGCTAAATGGTTTTTGTTCAGTTACCTAAACATTAATAAAGTACTATTCTGGGTATGATTTGTCAGAGAATAAATACTATATCTAGATTTAATGTAGAGATACACACTATTTCTCCATATGACTTTTAAGATATTTTAGTGCTTCAATACTGCTGAAAGCAATCCAGTTGCTCCTGTGCTAAATAGTAGCCAGCGAATCTTATAGTAATGGAGGATAGCCCCTAATCTCTTAATTGCATTTTATTTCTGTAAATCAGATAAATCCTTAATATTATTTTAAATTAAAATTTGTAATTGCCATTAAATTTTTCAAAATGTAATTTAAAAGGATTTAATAATTTAAAATAATTATTGTGTAATATCTACATTAGGAGAATTTTGAACTATCAAGCATATATAGTATACGGTTAAAAGTTATTAAATGAACATTTTACTCACTGATCTGTAAAAACTTCTTTAATCTACAACTATTGACAAAAACAACACTCAAACAAATATAATAGTACAGATGTCAGAGACTGAGACCAAATGACTTTTCTTGGAGACATTCCAGATTGCCATATTACATTATTTTAAATAGCACTATAATTTTAAATTCAAGCCTGCTCAGAAGAGCTTTTTAGGTCTCTCATAAACCTACTGTTCCCAGGAATACTCTCATCACATGACTGGGAGAGGTAGCCAAATTTGAATTCCCTTTCTGTGTTCCCACAAAAGCTGCTGAGAAGGAGCCACCATTTTGCTTTAAAATAGTGGTTTATTTTTCCTTTTTAATTAACACTGGAGCTGAGGATGCAGATTGCAGGAGTTACTTAATAAATTGGTTCAAGGGAGAGAGAGTATGTTGGAAATGGTAAGGTGATTTGATGGGCAAAAATTCTATAATTTGAATATGGGTTTAATTATTGACTATCAACAGAAGTACTGAGTATAAGAAGTATTTTACTTTTTTCATTTCATTCATCCTGTGTGTGTGTGTATGTGTCTCTATATATATTTTGTTGTAGTTGTTTTGTTTTATTTTTGAGACGGAGTCTTGCTCTGTCACCCAGGCTGGGGTGCAGTGGCGTGATATTGGCTCACTGCAACCTCCACCTCCCAGGCTCAAGAAATTCTCCTGCCTCAGCCTCCTGAGTAGCTGAGACTACAGGCTTGCCCCACCATGACCAGCAAATTTTTTGTGTTTTTAGTAGAGATGGGGTTTCACCATCTTGGCTAGGCTGGTCTCAAATCCCTGACCTCAAGTGATCCGCCTGCCTCAGGCTTCCGAAGTGCTGGGATTACAGGCGTGAGCCACCGTGCCCAGTCCATACTGTATATATTTTTAAAGTCTGTTCTAATATATATAAAAACTGTAAAAAATCAGTATTTTTATATAGCTCTCATGGGTTTTATTAAACAGAATTTGGCTCAAAAATACCATGTTACAAACTGTTGGGTACACTTGCCTAACATGAACTGGCAGTGTTACCTTGTTTTTGCAGTCATAGTCTACATATTGCAGGTCTCATCAGTTCCATCCAAAGTTTAAAAGCATTTAAAATTACGAAATCTTTAAAATCAATTTGGTGGTGATTCCGAATTGGTACCAAGCAAACTTTCTGGATGCCCAACATGATTTTCAGTAACCACCTAGAGTATTTGTTTAATAAGTTCACCACATTTTGAACATGGTAGTTTTAGACTGCCATAATATTCAGAATTACATTATTACCTCCTGCTAAGTAAAATCTAAGTCCTGCATATGCACAGAATTCAAGACTAAATATAATGATTCATGTTTAGCACACATTGAAGTATTGGTTGAGTACTTATGTATTAATACAGTGTGCATTCATATTTAATTGTTCAGGGTTAGTCTTTCTATTTTAATAATTTAAAAAATTATACAGGTAAATTTTTGGATATCAGACATGTTAGTTACAGTAGTAACACATTTTTAGGTATCTAAACACAATTTTCAAGATTCCTAACAAAAATTATAAAAATGTAAACAAGAGTTGTAAAAATGGACAAAGTAGTCAAGTTATATTTTCAAAGCACAATTTTATCAGACAGGCATAATTTACATTTTGCTTTTCTAGTGTGTTTGAAAATGTTTATTAGAGATTGGGCTATGTCGTTCATAATTTTTAATTCACAAAAAGTAATCATATATGAGAAGATGGACCTGTGTCCTAGGATTGTGTCACATATACAGATAATGCCATTTCCTTGTGTGTGTGATGTGTGTTTTGATGACCTCCACAGGCCTTACTGTATCAAGCTTTTATAATGATGACGCCTTCATTATTTAAATTCCTTTACTTTTTATTTGTTATCACATAACTACTTTGTGCAATGTGAAAATGTGCTAACTCATGGTAGAAGAGTGCCAATTGATAGTTCTTTTAAAAATTAAGAATATGGGCTGGGCACAGTGGCTCATGCCCATAATCGCAGCACTTTGGAAGGCTGAGGTGGGCAGATCACAAGGTCACGAGTTTGAGACCAGCCTGACCAACATGGAGAAACCCCGTCTCTACTAAAAATACAAAAATTAGCTGGGCATGTTAGCATGCACCTGTAATCCCAGCTACTCAGGAAGCTGAGGCAGGAGAATCACTTGATCCTGGGAGGCAGAAGTTGCAGTGAGCTGAGATCACACCACTGCACTCCAGCCTGGGCAACAGAGCGAGACTCCATCTCAAAAAAAAAAAAAAAAAAAAAAATTAAGAATATGGTATTTGGGAAGAAAAGTTTGAAATGCAACAGATAGATGTTTTGACACAGTAATAGTATATTATCAATTCTTCAATAAGTGATTTTAGAGATGTAGGCTACTTTTATGGTGGATTATATAGAGATGCAAAACTTAAATGTTTACATCAATTTATATTGAATGTCACATAATTTCATAGAAGGAAAGTTAGCTTGATATTTAGATTCTAAGGAGATATAATCTGAAAGGAAACTAATTGTGTTCTCTACAATTAGTTACTGTAATACTGATTATTCTTACATATCAAATTGTTGAACTTTTAAAATGTCATTGTATAGTCATTAAACTGAGGTAGGTTTTTTCTTAAGGGTTTAGCATCACTCATGTGATTTACACATTCACTATTATAATATTTAATTACTATGGGTGTATGCTTTACATAAAAAAGGCTTATAAAAGTTATTTATGCTATATTGAAAGTCATCTTCAGAATCTCCAGGTATTTAAAGTAGTTACAGGAGCAGAGAACAAGCACTTTCATCAAAATCTGGTCCTACGTGCCTTGCTTTACCAAATACCTGATTCTTCTCGAGGGTGTTCCTGTAATTCACAACTTTGGACATAGGAGCAAAATTAGGATGTTTAGAAATAAATACATTTCTATTTTTTTGGTTGTTTCAACATTTGCTCTTTAAATTCAGTAACAATTAAAATAAATATATTACAAAAGCATAAAGATTTGTGAACAATACTTACTTAACTACATTGTGGTACCATTGCTCCATCATTGAGCTTTTTGAAACTTTAACAATTGTATAAAACTGTCAGTTTGTTGTTTCATTTGTTATTACAAAATATAATTTACTGTAATTTAAAAACTTTTTAAAATAATTTGGATCCTGACTTTGTCTATATCTGTATTTCCTTTGTTTAGAAAGGTTCTTTTGGATTTGAGAATGTAATTTGTATATTTAAATTTTTTATGGACATGATTCAAAGGAATGTATAAAGTGATCTTTTGTTAAATGGCTTTTTAAATAAATTTCTCTTGTCATTTTTTGGTATCCAGCTATTACCTATTTAACAGATTTATTGGAATATATTATTTCATAAAGAACTATACAAATCTTTTTCTAACTTCCTTTTCCTATTTACCTGTCTATGACCTAACCTATTAATTAGTCTTCTCTCTTTATATATCAAAAATGAACTGCTGATTTTTTTCTCTAGCTCTGTAGTACCTCTATCACTATCATATGTGATCTTTCTTCTTTTTCTCTGGCCCATACTCTAGCATGAAAGACTGGGTTGGCCAGGTCCAGTGGCTCATTCCTTTAATCCCAACACTTTGGGAAGCCAAGGCAGAAGAATTACTTGAGCCCATGAGTTTGAGGCCAGCCTGAGCAACATATGGAGACCTTGTTTCTACAAAAATTACCTGGGTGTATTGACATGCACCTGTGGGCCCAGCTACTCAGGAGGCTGAGGCAGGAGGATTGCTTGAGCCCAGCAAGTTGAGGCTGCAGTAAACCATGATGATACTACTGCACTCCAGCCTGAGTGACAGTAAGACTGTGTCTCAAAAAACAAACAAAACAAAAACCCAAGCAACAAAAAAAGAATGACTGGGTTTATTGAAACTAGTTAGAATTTATCTTTCCATATGTTAGTAACAGCCTAACAGGTTTTTTGTTTTAAATATCTTTAGGCTAGCCTCAAGGTTAAGTAATTATTCTTCATAATTTGAATGTAATTGCTTCAGTTGTGACCGTCAATTGAATGCATGGCGATCAATCATGATAATATACAGGATTTTAGTCCTGTATTTACTACTGAAGTAACCTTACACAAAATACTTTGTAAAAAGAAATCACTAAAATGCCAGCCTTTCAAAAATGTATATTTTTCTTTGGTGACCTCTCATGAAAAGCACTAACCTAAAATATTTAATTATCTTTTTTATATTATAATACTTCTTTTGTTGGAAATATATCACAATCCTCAAGTCCCAGTGCTATGCAAAAATATCTTATAAACTGAATCTTACAGATAATACTGCCTTTTTTTTTTTTTTTTTTTTTGAGATGGAGTCTCACTGTCGCCCAGGCTGCAGTGGTGCAATCTCAGCTCACTACAACCTCTACCCGCTGGGTTCAAGCAGTTCTGACTCATCCTCCCAAGTAGCTGGAATTACAGGCAGTGCCACCATGCTTGGCTAATTTTTGTATTTTTAGTAGAGATGGGGTTTCACTGTGTTGGCCAGGATGGTCTCGAACTCCTGATCTCAGGTGATCTGCCCACCCTAGCCTCCCAAAGTGCTGGGATTACAAGGGTGAACCACCATGCCTGGCCAATATGCCTTTCAAAAGAGACTGATAGCGACTAGCATTAGTAATCATACTGGTTGGGATTTTTTTTTTTGGTTTTGTTTTGTTTTGTTTTTTGAGACAAAGTCTTACTTCCGTTGGCTAGGCTGGAGTGCAGGGTCACAATCTTGGCTCACTGCGCTTTGACAGCGGGAGCGCAAGTGATGCTCCCAGGAGCTGCAGTCCCCCAAGTAGCTGGGACTACAGGTGTGTGCCACCACTAGCAGCTAATTTTTGTATTTTTTTGGTAGAGATGGGGTTTCATCATGTTGCCCAGGTTGGTCTCAACCTCCAGAGCTCAAGTGATCCGCCTGCCTCGGCCTCCCAAAGTGTTGGGATTATAGGTGTGAGCCACCACACCCAGCCCATACTGG